CACTCTAAATGGAAGTAAGCTCAACAATTATGAAACAAGAGATTCCTCGAAATCCAACTTTTCTTCGCATGAAACATGTAAAGTCTGATCGAATAGTGAGAGAAGAAATTCATATAAATTAACCAGAATCTATAAACACCTGATTTGTATACAAACGAAGAGCAATGAATGAATTCAGTCTACAAAATAAAAATATTTGTTATACAATAAATAAAACAATCGTGAGATCATTGCTTGAATTAATTACGACAGTAAAAATGTATGTATAATGTATGTAATGTATGTATAATGGGCACAATTTAATAATATTTAGAAATTCTAAAAACATGAGTACATTAAGGATATTATTTATTTAATATAATTCGGTTGAAATGTTAAGGTTTTCAAACTGGCACTTATGGGTATCATAACACCGTGTTCAAAACCTCTGGTGCCAGATATAAATATCTACATCATGTCCTTTCTGTAATATGAGAAGCATTAAGCTACAAATACGGTTTCCGTTAACCTTGTAAGGATATTTTTTGTGAAAGGTATAATACTAAGTATTTAGAGATATAAAAGTGGCCTACATAGGAAAAAGTCAACTATATTCGAGTGCATAGCCCAAGAGCCATAACCCAGGCTCCTTAATATAGACTTAATTGACAATAATTTGAAAGAGTTTATTTATTCTCCTGAGCATTTATAAAAATTCAAAAAAATAAAATGTGCATATTACTTTATTATATATGATTTTAAATAAAATGTAAGTTAAAATAAATAATAATACTTCATAGAGGTTGTTTGACCTTGTTTTTGAAACTTAGTCATATTTGTAGGAAGACTTAGAGGAACGAACTTAGCCCAGGGTCCATTGTATGCATGATCATTTCGAAAGCCGGACCGTTGATATGGTACATTCCCAGACGTCCACGGTCCGACTTTGGAAATGATCATGCATACAATGGACTCCGGACTAAGTGCGTTCCTCAAAGTCTGATTACCAATATGAGCAAATTGCGAAAACAAGATCAAACAACCTCTATAAAAGGAAAAGAGACTGTGACCACACAAAAGGCCACAACAATTTGGTCTTCAGACCTTCGAATAATATTTCATACTACTACTCGCTTCCCAGAATATTAACTCATTTAGGTAACCCTAACTGTTAGCTTGATTTTAAATTTCTGGAGGTAAGTGAAGTAATGTAAATAGAAACTGAAAGTGTTAAACAGTAAAAGATCAAACCAATCGTAAAATATCAATAAGCGATAAGCATTAAGTTAATTAAAAAAAAGTATTTATTAAGCAATATAATTATTAAATTTCACAGTTAGGCAAAAGAAATGACATATCTAAAGATATAAAAATCAAACACTAATAATAAATTTTAAGCGCTATCCCATTCTACACTCGACCAGACATTTTTGAGAAAGATTGTTTTTGCTGCTATGGAAAGTTATACTCGATATAAGAAGCCAGAAATCCGCTCACCTCTGAGGAAGTATTATATGCCAAATCATGAGCAGTCCGGAATCGTTTCCTGTGGCCAGGTAAAGTTCGTCAGGCGCAAATACAGGTCGGAAGCGGCATGAACGAATGCAGCTTTTCTGAGAAGTGGAGAAAATCTGTGTTTGTGTTCGGAGGCACCAGATCTGGGAAATCAAAACAGTATGGGAAATAGTTAGCCATATCACAACCTAATGCAGAAAGTTGTAATCCTGGAGTGTTATTACTGTCTCAAAAAAGTTGAGCCTCAAGAAGGAACTCTTACAAGATTGAAATCATTAAATAAATAAAACAGCAAAAATGCTAAAAATTATAATTTATGGTTATCATGGCATTGCATAAGAGTTTTTGGTTAACCTCAAATTCTTAGAATAAAAATTGAGCAAGCGTTAATAGAGTTACTACATTCAGAGTTGATCAAGAATACTATAGGCTGGTCATGCAAAAGGAAATGAAGTTGTCCGCTATTGGGTCAAAGCTTAGAATAGTGGAAGGGATAACAATAAGATGGCATCATATAAAATCTTAACTTGAGTCATGAGAAAGAATTAATAAGTAAACAAAGTGAAATATTTGAAGGTATGAAGACCAAGATGGTGTGGTCTTTGTGTGGTCGCAGTCTCCGTTCATTGTATAGAAGTTGTTTGACCCTGTTTTCGCAACTTGGTTATATTGGTAGGAAGACTTAGAGGAACGCACCTAGTCCGGAGTCCATTGTATGCATTATCATTTCCAAAGTCGAACCGTGAACGTGGTACATTCCCAGACTTTTTGCCGGCATCGTAGTCGGTATCGTCAGTGAGTCTCGCCATTCGTATGGAAATGATCATGCATACAATGGATTCCGGATAAGGTGCGATCCTCTAAGTCTTCCTACCAATATGACCAAATTGCGAAAACAAGGTCAAGCAACCTCTATACAACGATAGGAGACTGCGACAACACAAAAAGTTACATCATCTTGGTCTTCATACCTTCGATTAATATATAATTTACTTCAAGAATAAAATTGTTGTGGAAAGTTTAGGATAAACTTGTTGAAAAAAAATATGGCTGTAATCAATTATATCACCGTAATACTTAAAGAATTTTGTTGTTATCTAATAAGTGTGGGAGAAAACATTTAACTAAAATGTCTAATATGTGCAAAGTAAAGTTGGGTTTTAAGAAATCTCTTGTGTCATAATTGTTGAACTTACTTCCATTTCGAGTAAAAGTGTTGGTTGAAGAGATCCGAAGGTCGATTCCACCAGAAGACGATGGCGGATTCTTCTTGATCAGATGTCGATTAACCTTACTGGAAGATTCATGCTCCTTCAATTCCGGTGAAAAGGTACTAAGCTTTCTTCCGTCATATGACGAATGTCAATAGAGCAAGGTATCATTATTACAACAAAAATCAAGCTAACGAGTAAAGCAAACACAAAAAGGCACATACATCTACAGAGATAGACACATTCGCAGGCTCCTAAGTTGACATATGACCGACACTAACCAAATCACTTTATACCTCAGTAGAGTATATATACCGCTTTTCAGGGATTTATCAGGGAGTTTTCTTGACTCGTTAGCTTGATTTTAGTTGTGACGATGATACCTTTCTCTGATGATTTTCGTCATATGACTGACGAAAGCTTTGCACCTTTTTACTGGAATCGAAGGAGATTACCTCGGAAACAGCGTCAGCACGAATCTTACAGTAAAGCCAATGGAAATAGGTTCAACAAAATGTCTAATAGCAATGATATCTGATTACGCTAGAAGGAATACGAGTGAAGGAATGTTACTAAAAAAACTGATCGTTTAAATTTATTAAAACCTAGAAAAAAAGCTGCTTAAATTAGCCCTGCAATAAGGATAATGCTTTGCATAATAAAGAATGGTTAAATGCTTATAAGGAACTCCATAGTAATTTCTTATAAGAATCAATAAATCAGAGAGTAGGAATAAGTGCACTAAATTTCTTGATAAGCAGAAATGCCTGCTACGGAAGAAAACAAAACAATGTCAATCAGTCTTAATTTATAGGATTTTGGAAATAGAAAAAACATGTGAGCTTGAATTCATTAATATTTAAAGGCCACAATATAACCAAACAACAGTGACCCAAAAATGCCGATCTATATACTTTGCACGTCTGATCGACGCTTGCAGTTGCAAGCCAAAAGCCTGATGAATCGACGTCGGCATCACAGATGACGTGAGATCTATGCGCGGAATGCAGATTCAGTGACCAACCGTGAATAGTAGAAGAGTCAACACCACAATTGGCAGGAGCAGAAGTGTTCGTCCGTTCAGATGAGGTTAGTTGACGCCCAAAGACTTGACCATCGTAGCCAGCGCTTATCCAGACGATGGGGCCAATTTCAGAAGAATCATGAGTGAAGTTATCTCGTAAATGAGACATGGTAAAAAGGCGACGGCAAGTGAACCAAGAGATGGATAAGCCCGGAAAGGGAGGATTTAGTATCTGCGGGCCAAATTCATCACTCTGAGGCAGAAGTGATGATCGCCGATTTAGATGATTATTAAGGGAAGTCTCAAGGCATAAATCAGGCAACAGCGGGTCAGGAATGTGAAGTGCTGGCCAAATTGTAGTCGGGTATAAAAAATCTGGATGGAATAGCTGATGGTCAACGGGATAGGATATATGCGGATTCAAATTCCAAAGCTGAAGTGGGTAAAATAAATTTAAAGAAAAATGTTTTGCGAATAAAAAAAAAGGAAAGATTAATGGCCGATGTAAGTAGTTTTCTAGGCTACATGTTAGTCCTAGACAAAATAATGGCATAGATAGGTTCCGAAAATACTTATTCAAAAAAAATAAGGTAATAGATTACAATGACAACTACATGTTTTCTCAATCAAAAATCCAATTAAAAATGAGTTTAGATAGCCCTGATATGTTTTAAATGTTGAAACAGAAGTGATAAAAAATATCATTCATTGAAAAAAATCTACAATCGAAAATCAAAGTAGTCTAAAATCAATATAAAATTAAGATTGATCCAATAGTGAAACTAATTAATTGTGATTTATTTGGCTTTCATTGTAAAGGGTGGACAACAGCTAGTAAGATATTTATCAAAATAATGTCTATTATTAAAGGCATAATTTGAGTGGATCATTAAAACAGTAATATATTTTAAATAAAATATGACCCTAGTCTGAATCCATGACATTTTACTCACACGAACTTGACCATCTTCCATCACTGCAAGAACTGAGAAAATAGAATACCTAAATGCAGACTCGGCGCTCGCAACTTCAATCCAGCTAGTCAGGTGGACTACTTGCCCAACCGACTCAAGTGGATTGGGTAAGTATTGGCGAATCTCTGGGACTGCTGTGGGATGATCATGAGGACTAGAAGAGTAGGAAGAGGAAGATGATGACTCATATTCTCGTTTATCATTGTCAGGTTGAACTAAGACCAGCCCTTTTAATGGATCATATGTTTGGTATTGCTTTTTTTTGTTGGAGTCACAGTTACTGCATAATTTTATATCGGATTCAGTAGAATCCATTGAGCAACTTGGCGGGCTTGAGACTGGTCGGCCACAAGAACGAAGAGTCTGCCGGCGCGGTCGGTGTCGTCGAAAGGGAGATTGGACTGATACATTTGAGACAGTCGCCGATGTGTTTGGTAGCAAAGGTGAATCGCAAGTTGGGGTAATTGGAGTAGTTACAGAATGTGATGAAAATATAGATGCGGTAGTACGAGCATTGCTGATCGAATTGGTTTTGTTCGGTTGGGGACATGGGAACAAGCGAAAACGAAGCATAACACCATCGAAATGAGACTGGTCAAAGATAATAGAAAACACCTGAATAGGTAAAAAAAGAAATATTTAAAATGTGTATGGTGTAGGGATGCTAGAAGTCAACTAATTTAATTTAAAAAATAAAAGGGATAAAAAGAACGTAAAATTTAAATAAATAATTATGCTCAAAATGAAGAAACAATCAAAATTTTAATGATAATGTAAATTGAATTTCATGGCCTAGATCACAAAACGAAACACAAGAGTAAACAACATATATTGATAGATGTAGAATCGTGTTTTCGCAGCTTGGTCATATTGACAGGAAGATCTAGAGAACGTAGCTAGTCCGGAGACCATAGTATTCATAATAATTTCCTGAGTCGGAACGTGTACGTGGTACATTCCAAGACGTATAGACGATATCGTCATTGAGCGTTGCCAGTCTTAGCACCACACTACAACTCGTCAGATAGACAAGTTAAATCGATCCTTTGACCAATTGTCTACTAGACAGTTGTGGTATCTCTCCTTCTCTCATAGTCTATTCACCTATCGTATATCTTCTTACCATCCTTGTGGCATCACAATTTCTTAATTGTTTATTTAAGTGTGGTACGATGCGGTCTTTAAAGCAAATGTTATAATAACTATTTACACCACACGCTGGCTTTGTCAGCCCAACCCGTTAGGATTGTCATATAAATGTTGATCTGTGTCCGCTATAGTATTCCACAATCCTCGTCCGCTAGGTCTTATCAAAACCTCCTTCTGCCCGTAGGAACCGTCTCATATTTCATGGTTCCGGTATTCCACTTGACCTCTACCACCCTATCTGTGCTACCCAAAGCGTTATTTCTCACAGTCTGCCTCAAGCTTTTGATTACAGGCCTACTTCTGCTTCGCTGAGAAGGCCGACTAAGTCTGGATTCTCAAACTGGATGAGAAAGTAACTTGAGGTTATAGATCCCGAATAATTCTCATGGTCAAGCCATTGCTTCGTGGACCACGGCTACGATCAAATACGTCTACTGTTAGCCAACTAGCTCTAGTCTCCGTCACATCTATCGTGCTTCTATGAATAGTGCCAGTCTATTACTTCTTATGCACTAGTCTCTTGTATGTCAAACCACAAATGATGTGGCTCTTCTTGTTTTGATTAGGTTCACTGTAGACGTCTCCTCTTAGTTCCCGATTATTACTTTCTGGTCTCCTTATGATTTTTATTCCTTAAATCAAAGATGTTACCTTAATTTAATCGCCTTCTTTTTTTGGATCTTACTGATGCTTGATCTTCTCCTAGTTTGATTAGGCAACATGCAAAGTTTTCGCTGATCTTGCCATCTTTGAGTCTCCTATTCATTAAATTTCTTTCGGTAAGTAATTTAATCATATGCAGTCTTTCTGTTGATTTTCATTCGATTTCCTCTCCCATCCATGTACAGTGTAGGGATAAATAGGATATTTCCGTATCTGTGTTTTATAGTGTTTTTAATGTTCCTTGATTCGTATAGCGATTTATCGTCCTGTATCGTGAATATACTTCTGTCAACATTTGCAGCATTTGATATAAAAAACTCCCGAGAAATCCCGTTTGTCAATCTTATCAGATTGCGTCAGACTGATGAAACGTATTACTTTCTCCTTTGTTATCACCTTGATATTCCATTTTCTTAGTAAATGTAGCAATTTCTGGCTCAGTTAAAAGGAGGGGAGGCATATTCCCTCTTGGTGGTCTTCATTATTTCTGATCGGATTTTTATAAAATCCGAATTAAGATCTGCTTTTTATGACACCTAAATTATTTTTTTATGAATTCTCTTGGATAACCGTTACTTAGGTAAATTTGAGTTATTTTGCCTAACTCCTCGTGCCATAACTCCGTGTCCGTCAATCTTAATCTTCTGATGATCAAACTCCTCAGTATTCCGATATTTAGTTTGTAGTGAGGCTGAAAATAAGGATAAATTCCGTAATATTAATTCTTGTTGAATCGTCTCCTCATTAATATCCCGTTGGAGTTATTGACTTCAATATCCAGTAAGGGTAGTCGTTCATCCTTCTCCACTTCCATTGTGAACTTAATTCGTTCATCAATTTGGTTAATAAAATAGCAGTATTCGTTCAAATTTTCCTTATAATGCGACCAAAGTACAAATTAGTCATCCAGGTATAGCATCCAGAGTGAATACTCTGCCTAGATCCTTCCTAAATCTAGACTTAATATCGATTAATATCGATTAGCTTACGCCTCTCAGTCTCATGACTTTCCTCTGGTTTCAGGATGGAGGCGTGATAAAGTATTTCATTAACTGTGTTCAAATGAGACTTCTTAATTAGGTTGCAGAATTCGAGAGCGATATCAAAATAATTGCAACACATTTTTATGTTGTCCTATAGATAGATGCTAAATGAATCCAATCGATGCAAACAGAACAATCAGTTAAGAAAATCAACACATCAATTTATATCGAATTATATATGAAAGAGTAATTTGACGAATTATTTTAATAAAAAATCAGTCGTTAGATAGATTAAGCTTTTCATTCAAGAGAAAGGTGATAATTTTCAATATATAATTAATATAAATTTATTTAAAAGTAACATGTAAAAAGTTGGACATCCAAATAATAAACTTCATTA